TGTTTTTATTCATTCTATTTTAAATCATTCAAATTAGCATTTATTTTCTATTTTGATTCTTTATAGATTATAGTGATTTCGCTGCTGCTTTTAAGTTATTTCAACAACTGATAATAACAACTGACTACTCTGTCAGACATGCAACATATTTCTTTAATATCATTTTTTCAACTTTATTTATTTATTATTTACTTCTTCACTCAATTTGTAGCAAAACACCTGCACGTCACCAAAGGGGAAAAAAAACAGATATGCTGATGTCCAGACCTGGTCAGCCTTTCATGCATGGAAGCACATGTCACATTCATCACAGAAAAGTCAACTCACCTCAACAAGAGGATGCCAGTGGGCGACAGGTTTTCGGGGATATGTGAGCATTTCACTCCAGTGTTCTCTACCAAGGCTGTCTGCATCATTGCCGATTCGACACACACCGATGACTTCATTATGGCCCACCCTACAGGTGGAGGAGGGAAAGAGAGAATCAACACGAACTTAGCCTGCCTTCAAAAGACAAACTAATAATAATAATAATAATGATGATGATAATATTAATAATAAATGAAAGTGTTGATCTTTTCTTACAGAAACAAAAACTTTAGGACACAGCTTACATTTGTGGCAAACATAAATTTTAAATAAAGGGTGCAAAAGTGGTGCAAATTCTGTGTAATTTCAATAAAGTAACCGAACCGATCATAGTCCATCACTGCTATCAAAAGGCTGATTTGCTCTATGTTTTCTGGAGGGACATCAAAGACGATGGCCTCATTATAGACTGGATTCAAAGTGTTCCTCTTCGTCGATGTCTTCCTCTTCTTCAGTCTACGACCCTCACACATCAGTGAGACCTTCACATACGGATCTGTACAAATGAGAGAAACAGAGAAGGGAAGCGCACATTCATATTCAGAATCCCAGTTTGACTCTGTAGTTACACACAGCATCTGATTTGAATTACCAGATGCACCAGTGATGTCCATGGCCTTGAGATTGCGAGCCTGAATCATGGTGATGGTCAATCTGCCCGCTGTCGGCAAGTAGCAGAGWGAAAACATCAGATCCCCGAGATCCACGTTATCCTATAAGACAGCACAAACACATTTACTAACACATTTACTAGTGCAGGACTTTAACCTTGATGATTTGCTACATAATATTGCACACCAGCCAAAAGCAAACAAGAAAAGCACACGCTTCTGACTTTTACTTACAGAGATGATATGATTTTACAGTGGGAAAATATCTTATATCATAACTTCAATAAAAGCTTCCTCTATTTCAGGGAGCACAGATAYGTTTGTTCAGCTGCTGTTCTTTTATCACCTGTGCTGAAAATATCTTTGCTAAAGAAGCGAGAACCATGAATGCACACAAACATGTGCGATGAAATGAACTCCACAGGACAATTCCTTGCTCATACTGATGTGTTTGAGAAATTGTGTTGGTATTTTGAACCCACATAGAAGCTGTGTGTGAATGTGTGAATTATTTTTTTATGAATTCATTGAATGTAGAAATAATAATATCTGAGAATGCAGCTTTATTGGATTACACTAATTCTACTCCTTTACCTAAARTTCCAAACACGGTTAGGAAAAAACCAAAATGAGCCCTAACCCAGAAWGATTAAAAGGTTTGAAAGAAAATTTTAAAAAGAGCAAATTATCTAGAGTCTGCATTTTCGAAGGWGAGACAAATGGCTGCAATTTCTTGGCTGAAATGCAGTCCTATGTAGGTGTGTTCGTGTTTGAGTGTGAAAAAGAAAATCATTGCCTTTCTACACTTCTAGAAACCAGATGTGTGGAAAAAAATAGTGAAGTGGTATCGCCTCAGTGTTAAACCATTTTTATGTACAAGTACTCCCTTGGCCAGCATGGGATTTCCCCGGGTGCTGGAGTTTTCACATAAAGTTCAAACACATCCATGTTAGGTTATATACTGAATCCAAACAAATCAGAGCACAAGTAGATATTTGTACTAAATGTTGAATCATCTGTCAGTTTTTTTTTTTTTTACGTTTTAAAGGTAAAATTTATATCTTTTGAAATGGGTYTATAAGAAACATGCAACCGCCCAGTTGTAAATACCCGAACAACCTCAATTTGGAGAAACAGAGAAGTTCTGACTGGACTAACAAGAAAACGGTGTTAGCAATGAAGCTAAGGCTAAAGTGGTTGATGAACTCCAGGCTCAAAACTGTCATAGTGCCTCATACAAACATTGACTTTTTCAAACCTTTATTCTGATGATAATTGTGATTTTCAGGGTTATTCTGGCAGCCTTTTTAAGATATCCGAGTCAGAAGTGACCAGGAAAAAAACAGAGAAGTGCTGAAAACAGTAAGATTTTATTTGAACAGTCATTTCAAAAAGAGGATTTAAAGGTTTTAAAAAGTGTTCACAAAAGCCTCCAGGACATTTTGACATTTTGACATTGGAGTTATTGGAGCTGTTGTCAATCCACTTTGAATCAAACTCTTTTTTTCTGCTAACTGAAATCATTTCAGGAGCTGCAACAACAAAGCTGTTTCTTGTTTATTACCTTTCCACGTATCCTCACACCATATAGGCTGATTTATCCCTTTAATATAATTTTGGTTTAAAAAAACTGTGTGCATATGTACAATGGTTTGGTTCTCAGCTGTGATAAACAAAACGTATTCATGAAAAAAGCACCTTTATAAATAGAGGTTTTTTTTCTTATTTTCCAAAACATTGCATGTTCCTGAGAAAGTGTTACTGTGTGATGAAGTGGGAGTGACTGGGTTCTTTTGGCTGAGTAACATTGACATTTTACACATTTATGGCAGACAAATGTTAAGATCACACTCACTGTAGATGTAGTTTTGTGAAATGTGAAAATGGTAATGTGTTACTTTACGTTTTTAACTGGAGTTTGAAAAATAACTGAGAGTAGTTTTTTCCTAATTTTAGGATCTAAAAGGTCAGATTTTGTTATATTAAGAATTATCTTTGTCAAAAACACCAGAATTTGCACATAACTTTATATTTTTGTCAGTATAATGACATAATTTAAATACAAAAACAGATATTATGATCAGTTATTCAGTACTCAAGAAGTCTTTGTCCAAAATATGCTTTTACTGTTACTTGAGTAATTTCTTGGATGGCTAATTTTTACTTTTACTTGATACATATTTTGGTTACTCTACCCAACTCTCTTGGTAATGTAGTGACTTTATTTGTGTACAACTTTTTTCTTGCAATACTGATTTTATTCTCATGATATGACTTTATTCTAATACAACTTTTTCTCATAATACTATGAC